ATCTATCATCGCCACAAGAATAACCTCCCACCACCCAGTGAATAACCTCTCACCATCCAGTGAATAACCTCCCACCACCTAGTGAATAACCTCCCACCACCTAGTGAATAACCTCCCACCATCCAATGAATAACATCTCACCATCCAGTGAATAACCTCCCACCACCTAGTGAATAACCTCCCACCATCCAGTGAATAACATCTCACCATCCAGTGAATAACCTCCCACCACCTAGTGAATAACCTCCCACCACCTAGTGAATAACCTCCCACCACCTAGTGAATAACCTCCCACCACACAGTGAATAACCTCCAACCACCCAGTGAATAACCTCCCACCATCCAGTGAATAACCTCCCACCACCCAGTGAATAACCTCCCACCAACCAGTGAATAACCTCCCACCACCCAGTGAATAACCTCCCACCATCCAGTGAATAACCTCCCACAATCCAGTGAATAACCTCCCACCACCCAGTGAATAACCTCCCACCACCTAGTGAATAACCTCCCACCACACAGTGAATAACTTCATCACACAGTGAATAACCTCCCACCACCCAGTGAATAACCTCCCACCAACCAGTGAATAATCTCCCACCACACAGTGAATAATCTACCACCACCCAGTGAATAATCTACCACCACACAGTGAATAATCTACCACCACACAGTGAATAATCTACCACCACCCAGTGAATAATCTACCACCACACAGTGAATAATCTACCACCACCCAGTGAATAATCTACCACCACCCAGTGAATAATCTCCCACCACCCAGTGAATAATCTCCCACCACCCAGTGAATAATCTCCCACCACCCAGTGAATAATCTACCACCACCCAGTGAATAATCTACCACCACCCAGTGAATAATCTCCCACCACACAGTGAATAATCTCCCACCACCCAGTGTATAATATCCCGCCAAACAGTGAATAATCTCCCACCACCCAGTGAATAACCTCCCACCACCCAGTGAATAATCTCCCACCACACAGTGAATAATCTCCCACCACCCAGTGAATAACCTCCCACCACACAGTGAATAATCTCCCACCACCCAGTGAATAATATCCCGCCAAACAGTGAATAATCTCCCACCACCCAGTGAATAATATCCCGTCAACCAGTGAATAACCTCCCACCACCCAGTGAATAACCTCCCACCACCCAGTGAATAACCTCCCACCACCCAGTGAATAACCTCCCACCACCCAGTGAATAATCTCCCACCTCCCAGTGAATAACCTCCCACCACCCAGTGAATAACCTCCCACCACTAAGTGAATAATATCCCGTCAACCAGTGAATAACCTCCCACCACCCAGTGAATAACCTCCCACCACCCAGTGAATAACCTCCCACCACCCAGTGAATAATCTCCCACCACCCAGTAAATAACCTCCCACCACCCAGTGAATAACCTCCCACCACCCAGTGAATAACCTCCCACCACCCAGTGAATAATCACCCACCACACAGTGAATAACCTCCCACCACCCAGTGAATAACCTCCCACCACACAGTGAATAATCTCCCACCACCCAGTGAATAATCTCTCGCCAGCCAGTGAATAACCTCCCACCATCCAGTGAATAACCTCCCACCACCCAGTGAATAACCTCCCACCAACCAGTGAATAACCTCCCACCACCCAGTGAATAACCTCCCACCATCCAGTGAATAACCTCCCACAATCCAGTGAATAACCTCCCACCACCCAGTGAATAACCTCCCACCACCTAGTGAATAACCTCCCACCACACAGTGAATAACTTCATCACACAGTGAATAACCTCCCACCACCCAGTGAATAACCTCCCACCAACCAGTGAATAATCTCCCACCACACAGTGAATAATCTACCACCACCCAGTGAATAATCTACCACCACACTATGAATAATCTACCACCACCCAGTGAATAATCTACCGCCACCCAGTGAATAATCTACCACCACACAGTGAATAATCTACCACCACCCAGTGAATAATCTACCACCACCCAGTGAATAATCTCCCACCACCCAGTGAATAACCTCCCACCACCCAGTGAATAATCTCCCACCACCCAGTGAATAATCTACCACCACCCAGTGAATAATCTACCACCACCCAGTGAATAATCTCCCACCACACAGTGAATAATCTCCCACCACCCAGTGAATAATATCCCGCCAAACAGTGAATAATCTCCCACCACCCAGTGAATAACCTCCCACCACCCAGTGAATAATCTCCCACCACACAGTGAATAATCTCCCACCACCCAGTGAATAACCTCCCACCACACAGTGAATAATCTCCCACCACCCAGTGAATAATATCCCGCCAAACAGTGAATAATCTCCCACCACCCAGTGAATAATATCCCGTCAACCAGTGAATAACCTCCCACCACCCAGTGAATAACCTCCCACCACCCAGTGAATAACCTCCCACCACCCAGTGAATAACCTCCCACCACCCAGTGAATAATCTCCCACCTCCCAGTGAATAACCTCCCACCACCCAGTGAATAACCTCCCACCACTAAGTGAATAATATCCCGTCAACCAGTGAATAACCTCCCACCACCCAGTGAATAACCTCCCACCACCCAGTGAATAACCTCCCACCACCCAGTGAATAATCTCCCACCACCCAGTAAATAACCTCCCACCACCCAGTGAATAACCTCCCACCACCCAGTGAATAACCTCCCACCACCTAGTGAATAATCACCCACCACACAGTGAATAACCTCCCACCACCCAGTGAATAACCTCCCACCACACAGTGAATAATCTCCCACCACCCAGTGAATAATCTCTCGCCAGCCAGTGAATAATCTCCCACCACCCAGTGAATAACCTCCCACCACCCAGTGAATAACCTCCCACCACACAGTGAATAACCTCCCACCACCCAGTGAATAACCTCCCATCATACAGTGAATAGTCTCTCGCCAACCAGTGAATAATCTCCCACCACCCAGTGAATAAGTCTCTCGCCAACCAGTGAATAATCTCCCACCACCCAGTGAATAATCTCCCACCTCCCACCACACAGTGAATAATATCCCACCACACAGTGAATAATCTCTCGCCAACCAGTGAATAACCTCCCACCACCCAGTGAATAACCTCCCACCACTAAGTGAATAATATCCCGTCAACCAGTGAATAACCTCCCACCACCCAGTGAATAATCTCCCACCACCCAGTGAATAATCTCTCGCCAGCCAGTGAATAATCTCCCATCACCCAGTGAATAACCTCCCACCACACAGTGAATAACCTCCCACCACCCAGTGAATAACCTCCCACCACACAGTGAATAATCTCCCACCACCCAGTGAATAATATCCCGCCAAACAGTGAATAATCTCCCACCACCCAGTGAATAATATCCCGTCAACCAGTGAATAACCTCCCACCACCCAGTGAATAACCTCCCACCACCCAGTGAATAACCTCCCACCACCCAGTGAATAACCTCCCACCACCCAGTGAATAATCTCCCACCTCCCAGTGAATAACCTCCCACCACCCAGTGAATAACCTCCCACCACCCAGTGAATAACCTCCCACCACCCAGTGAATAACCTCCCACCACCCAGTGAATAATCTCCCACCACCCAGTAAATAACCTCCCACCACCCAGTGAATAACCTCCCACCACCCAGTGAATAACCTCCCACCACCCAGTGAATAATCACCCACCACACAGTGAATAACCTCCCACCACCCAGTGAATAACCTCCCACCACACAGTGAATAATCTCCCACCACCCAGTGAATAATCTCTCGCCAGCCAGTGAATAATCTCCCACCACCCAGTGAATAACCTCCCACCACCCAGTGAATAACCTCCCACCACACAGTGAATAACCTCCCACCACCCAGTGAATAACCTCCCATCATACAGTGAATAGTCTCTCGCCAACCAGTGAATAATCTCCCACCACCCAGTGAATAACCTCCCACCACCCAGTGAATAACCTCCCACCACACAGTGAATAATCTCCCATCATACAGTGAATAATATCCCACCACACAGTGAATAATCTCTCGCCAACCAGTGAATAACCTCCCACCACCCAGTGAATAACCTCCCACCACTAAGTGAATAATATCCCGTCAACCAGTGAATAACCTCCCACCACCCAGTGAATAACCTCCCACCACCCAGTGAATAACCTCCCACCACCCAGTGAATAATCACCCACCACACAGTGAATAACCTCCCACCACCCAGTGAATAACCTCCCACCACACAGTGAATAATCTCCCACCACCCAGTGAATAATCTCTCGCCAGCCAGTGAATAACCTCCCACCACCCAGTGAATAACCTCCCACCACACAGTGAATAACCTCCCACCACCCAGTGAATAACCTCCCATCATACAGTGAATAGTCTCTCGCCAACCAGTGAATAATCTCCCACCACCCAGTGAATAACCTCCCACCACCCAGTGAATAACCTCCCACCACACAGTGAATAATCTCCCATCATACAGTGAATAATATCCCACCACACAGTGAATAATCTCTCGCCAACCAGTGAATAACCTCCCACCACCCAGTGAATAACCTCCCACCACCCAGTGAATAACCTCCCACCACACAGTGAATAATCTCCCACCACCCAGTGAATAACCTGCCACCACACAGTGAATAATCTCCCACCACCCAGTGAATAATCTCCCGCCAACCAGTGAATAATCTCCGAATGAAAGCAACGAGTTTGTACTGGCAGTTAAGTGGTCCGTCAAAACAGGCAGTGCTACTAGGAAAAGTCTGAGCTGACATTGCAAGACTCGCTCTCAGTCCTTACCTACATATTCACCGCCTTCTAAGTACGAGAGACACAATAAAAACTATGAATGACAATTACAATTTGTGTAGTACACATTGTTTATATATAATTTACTGTGTTGTTGATATGACAAGCTGTTATCCTTTGATATTTGACAGCCAAGTATCAAATACGTAGGCAACGTCGCACTCACCTGAAACCACTAAAACTTCATTGGGGCCGCATGTAAGGAACACAGGCAACATTGTCACGTATCTTCTGACGGAACTTGGGAATGTATCAAATAGCCAGCCGCCAGGCGCACCTCAGGCAACACAACCTTCTCCCACCACAGTCTGTGAGACACTGACTCATTCCACGTCTTATTACCCTTGGCCTTTAACGGTATTGCCGCTCAGTCAGAACCTCTTGGATTACTACCTTAGGGGTCATGTGAACCGCTGACTGGTTTATATACAACTAAAAGTTTAATTTTCACTATAGAGGTTACTCTAATATATATATACTTTAACATATAGCTCTGTTCAAGATTAAAGTTAAACTGCGGAGTTTACCTCTAAACATCAGCGGCCCGAGACTGTTCAACACACTTCCACTACACATAAGGGACATAACTGGCCGACCCCTCACAGTGTTCAAGAGAGAACTATCAACATCAGAGGCCCCAGACTGTTCAACACGCTTCCACTACACATAAGGGACATAACTGGCCGACCGCTCACAGTATTCAAGAAAGAACTTGATAAACACCTCCTAAGAATACCTGATCAACCTGGCTGTGATTCATACGTCAGGATGCGAGCAACCGCGTCCAACTGCCTGGTTGACCAGTTCAGCAACCAGGAGAGCTGGTCGAGGACCGGGCCGCGGGGACGCTGAGCCCCGAAATCATCGCAAGGTAACCGCACCCTTGATGATCTAGGAAGGCAACGGCCTTAAGCCTTAAACGTTTGGAGTTATTTTCTCATACATCCCATACATATCCTGTGTTTTATTTTAGCCTCGACTTTACAACTACAGTATTAATATATTGGTATCCTTAGCTGTAGCGAGCTCTCTCACTTAGCTGTAGGGTGCTTCCTCACTTAACTGTAGGGTGCTCCCTCACTTACACTGTAGTGAGATCCCTCACTTAACTGTAGCGAACTCCCTTACTTAACTGTAGCGAGCTCCCTCACTTAACTGTAGCGAACTCCCTTACTTAACTGTAGCGAGCTCCCTCACTTAACTGTAGCGAACTCCCTTACTTAACTGTAGCGAGCTCCCTCACTTAACTGTAGCGAGCTCCTTCACTTAGCTGTATAGTGTTTCCTCACTTAACTGTAGCGAGCTCCCTCACTTAACTGTAGCGAGCTCCCTCACTTAACTGTAGTGAGCTCTCTCACTTAGCTGTAGCGAGCTCCCTCACTTAACTGTAGCGAGCTCCCTCACTTAACTGTAGCGAGCTCCCTCACTTAACTGTAGGGTGCTCCCTCACTTAACTGTAGTGAGATCCCTCACTTAACTGAGGGTTCTCCCTCACTTAACTGTAGCGAGCTCCCTCACTTAACTGTAGCGAGCTCCCTCACTTAACTGTAGCATGCTCCCTCACTTAACTGTAGCGAATTCCTTCACTTAACTGTAGGGTGCTCCCTCACTTAACTGTAGCAAGCTCCCTCACTTAACTGTAGCATGCTCTCTCACTTAACTGTAGCTAGCTCCCTCACTTAATAATAATAATAATAATAATTATTATTATAATAATAATAATAATAATAAAATAATAGTATTTTATTCAGGAAAAGTACATACATAGATGAAGAGTTACAAACAATGTTGGATTTATAGATTAAGCTAGTACATACAAATCCTAAATCTACTAATATGCACAGCGTTTCGGGCAAGGTGTGGAGGAAAAACACCTAGACTGAAACCTAATAGTAATTGGGAGTAAAGTATTAGGGTGTATATAAAGCAAAGCATCTATAGGATGAAATATCTAGAGCATCTAGATCTAACAGTATTTATGTCATGGGTGACTTTAATTTTAGTGGAATAAACTGGTTGAACAAAACAGGGAATAATGAAGCAGAAGATTTTCTAGAATTAATTGACGATTGCTTTCTTACGCAACACATTTAGGAACCAACGCGGGAAAATAATATTTTAGATTTAGTGTTAACTAACAGGTAAACACACATTAAAGACATCGAAATAGGGAGTGAGCTGGGAACAGTGATCATAAAGAAATCAGATTAGCATAGAATGGAATAGATCTGTAGGAGAAAATTCTGTTAAAGTACCTGATTTTCGAAAAGCTAATATCAATAACCTAAGAAATTTATTGGGTCAAATAGAATGGAAAGTCTTGGGTATGGGGTGTGGGCCGGTCTTAGAGCTAAACATGAACCCAGCGATAGGTGACGTAAAAGAGGTTTTCGATGTGGACTCAAAATACAACCTATTTAAAGGTATTCTAAGCGAAGCCCAGGAATGTAGTATACCATATAAATTTAATAGATCGAATACTAATGATCCAAAGTGGATAACAAAGGATCTGAAGAACCTTATAGGTAAAAAGAGAGCGTGGTACAAAAGGATTAAGAATGGGGAAGTCAGTTTAAAACAGGAATTGGTACAACTGGTTAGAAATACAAAAAAAGAGATAAGGAAAGCAAAAAGAAACTATGAAGTTCGCATAGCAGAGCAAGCAAAGATAAATCCTAAAGGGTTTTTCCAGTTATACCGGACAAAGGTTAGGGAGAGGATAGGTCCATTAAAAACTGAGACAGGTCAAATAACGGATAATGATGAGGAGATGAGTACTATTTTTAATAAATATTTTATATCTGTATTTACTAAAGAGGAATTTAACAATATGCCTTCAGCCGAACAAGTATATGTGGGTGGGGACGAGGACAGGTTAACTAGTTTAGCAGTTACCAGGGAGGATGTAATTAAACAAATAGTTAAACTCAAACCAAACAAATCCCCAGTGCCGGATGAAGTGTTTGCTAGGGTGCTTAAAGATTGTCAGGAGGAGCTTTGCGATCCACTGTCTACCATATTTAATAAATCAATAGAGTTAGGCAGAGTGCCAGAGTTATGGAAAGTTGATAACAAAGAATTTGAACATAAGAACATAAGAACATAAGAACAAAGGTAACTGCAGAAGGCCTATTGGCCCATACGAGGCAGCTCCTATTCTATAACCACCCAATCCCACTCATATACTTGTCCAACCCGTGCTTGAAACAATCGAGGGACCCCACCTCCACAATGTTACGCGGCAATTGGTTCCACAAATCAACAACCCTGTTACTGAACCAGTATTTACCCAAGTCTTTCCTAAATCTAAACTTATCCAATTTATATCCATTGTTTCGTGTTCTGTCCTGTGTTGATACTTTTAATACCCTATTAATATCCCCCCGGTTATGTCCATTCATCCACTTGTAAACCTCTATCATGTCACCCCTAACTCTTCGCCTTTCCAGTGAATGCAACTTAAGCTTTGTTAATCTTTCTTCATATGAAAGATTTCTAATTTGGGGAATTAACTTAGTCATCCTACGCTGGACACGTTCAAGTGAATTTATATCCATTCTATAATATGGCGACCAAAACTGAACTGCATAATCTAAATGGGGCCTAACTAGAGCAAGATATAGCTTGAGAACCACACCAGGTGTCTTAAGAACATAAGAACATAAGAACAAAGGTAACTGCAGAAGGCCTATTGGCCCATACGAGGCAGCTCCTATTCTATAACCACCCAATCCCACTCATATACTTGTCCAACCCGTGCTTGAAACAATCGAAGGACCCCACCTCCACAATGTTACGCGGCAATTGGTTCCACAAATCAACAACCCTGTTACTGAACCAGTATTTACCCAAGTCTTTCCTAAATCTAAACTTATCCAATTTATATCCATTGTTTCGTGTTCTGTCCCGTGTTGATACTTTTAATACCCTATTAATATCCCCCCGGTTATGTCCATTCATCCACTTGTAAACCTCTATCATGTCACCCCTAACTCTTCGCCTTTCCAGTGAATGCAACTTAAGCTTTGTTAATCTTTCTTCATATGAAAGATTTCTAATTTGGGGAATTAACTTAGTCATCCTACGCTGGACACGTTCAAGTGAATTTATATCCATTCTATAATATGGCGACCAAAACTGAACTGCATAATCTAAATGGGGCCTAACTAGAGCAAGATATAGCTTGAGAACCACACCAGGTGTCTTGTTACTAACGCTGCGATTAATAAATCCAAGTGTCCGATTTGCCTTATTACGAACATTTATGCATTGATCCTTTTGTTTTAAATTCTTACTAATCATAACTCCCAGATCCCTTTCGCAATCCGACTTCGCAATCACAACACCATCTAGCTCGTATCTTGTAACTCTATCATCATTACCTAAC